CTTTTAGAGAAAATATAGGATTTTCCCAGAATAACACGGTATTTTCATAAACGGATGGTTTAACATTGAACTAATCGAATGACTGGGTTTCAAACATGCTTTTATTAAGAAAATATGGGATTTTCTTGAGGAACACTTTTCAAAAGGATCAAAGAACATTTTCCACCAAAACTAAATGCTTATGAACTCACCAGCTTTATGCTGATACTCTTTCAAAACTGCTTGTATTCTCAGGGATCCAGTAATACAGATAAAACATCAGCTTTTGGAGAAGAGACGCTAAGACGTCAATCTTAAAACTTATTGAATCATCATATTGTAATTATTTTGGGACATGTATTGTAAGCAACAATGTAACTTTTATATTATATATATGATGGTTGTGTGTACTTTCTTTACAAATATTCAACTGTTATGATACTACGTGAAGTCATCCGCCCCCGAATGTTTCCGCCATTCTGGTTTGGGGGTGTGACATCACACTATGGTACTCAACGATTCCTCAACTGTGTGAGTTCATTGGTAAACTTTGAGAAAGTAAATCGACTTAAGTTCTTATTGTTTGCTTCCATTTTTAAAATGGGTTACAACATAACACCATAAAATCGTTAGAAGAAAACTCAATTTTGATATTTCTTAAACTTTCAATTATCAATAAAAAAACTATAATTCTTCAAACAGATTGACCCTCCACTCAATCAACACTACACAAACACTACATGAAATTTGAAAAACCAACTCCACACTAGGGATCAACTAATTGAATTGGCTCATATACTAAAGAAATATTTTAAACATAATAAATTAAGGCTTGTAGAGTAGGAAATGTCAAACCAACATATAATGGAGCTGAAGGTAGAAGTAGTGCAACTGAAAAAGCAAATGAAATTACAACTATTGTATGAAATTATTTGTGTCTTAGTTGTTTGTGTCTTCTTCAAAGTTGTTTAGGTTCAATGCATGGTCAGTTATGTTGGTTGTATAGTTTGTTGTGGGGTCATAACTGTTTTGGGATATAAAACTTAGGATGACAAGGAAAGTGGATTTTTTTATTGTAAACAATCCATGACTTTAGGTTCTAAAAGTTGTGTGTTTGTATAAACAAACTTTATAATTTGTAGGGATCGGTTGAAGACTCCCTATTTTGTAGTATTATATTATTTTTCATCGCATAATAACTAAAATATTTTTTTATCCACATGTATAAATATACTAGTACAAAACAAATTCCCATCCACATGCATAAATATACAAGTAAAAAACATATTATGGTCCACATACATAAAAAAAGACATTTCACAGTTCATTAGAAAACAATATATAACTCATATTTTTTTTTCCAAACAAAAGGTACCATACATACTATTTCCAAAACAAATGTCCCCATGTTGTCTCCATATTGGAAAACAATAAGAACCATAGCCATGCAAGTACATTACAACTACATTAAATTTTACAAAATGCAAAACACCCTTAAAGTTTACTCTAAATTAATTGATTTTCTACTTGTGCTCCCTTCTCCATTTTCACCAAGAAACTTGCTTACTCAACTTCTTCGTAACAATTCTTTCAGACTTCCTTATCCTCTTTAAGACACTTGGCAGTTTAGTAGGTGGTACCATTTTTGTACCCGCCTGATGTTTCATATTTACTTGTTGTTTGGTAGGTGGTCATGCTTGATGATCCATATTTACTTGTTGTTGGTCATGCACTTATACATGCACTTCTCCAATTAATCTTACCAACTATAAATAGTAAGGATACGATAATACAATTACATACCTTTGGTCTATTAACTTGTTTCTTACTTCCTGTTGATCATGCACTTGGTTCCACTTTCTTGTTGATCATGCTCCTTAAATACACATTACATTGTTTACTTCCCTTCCTTTGACATTTTATATGTCCCAACCCTTTCTAATGCATCATTTTTCCTATTAATAGTAGGCTAGTAGCAACCCCAAACATCCTTGTATTTTTTTGGAGATAAAAGTTGGATATATGAGGTTTATGACGACATGGAGCTCCCATGTATAGAAATAATTATGTACTTGTAATATTTCATCTACATTTTAGCTCTAAACATATGGTTGGCATAATATTCCACATCTTTGTTTTTATAACAAACCATAGCAACTGAATGTACATATCCATATCCATTAAGATACCATAATCTGCAACTACATGATTTTCCTCTCAAGATCCATTTATACTACTTTCCCAATACATATGGTCTCAAACTGATTTAAGCCACTAGAAATACATGTCAATACATTTTTCTCTTTTTTCAACTCATTCGGTAAGGTCCTAATTTTTAGACAAATTTGGTTATCCCAAGGCCAACCCTTACTATTTATCTAACAAATTCTATCCATCACATAAATCCTTATTTCCTCCAAAAAGGTTATGATTGAATTTTTCCTAGCATATTTAATAAGAGAGTTGAAGCTCTCAAATTCCTATTTTCTACTGATGCACAACATTTACTTGTCTGGGAAAAACTATTGAACATGTTTTTGAGTCACTCTTTATCAAATACACATAAGAAATATGGTCTAACAACTGAAATTAGCTCATTAGTTGTCTTAAAATCGACTTTATTGTTTGAATGACAAGTTTTCATTAAAAGGTTTTGGAAGTGGGCATCACTAAATATTTTCTTGACATTGGAGACTATATGTTTTGCATATTGCCGTTGCTCAACATGTGGTAATAAATCCTTCACATCCTCCAACAGTTCGTGCAATTTAAGTCGACAAGTAAATGATATAATCATTCCAAGAAAATAATCAACACAATATAAGTAATTTAATTCACTAACGTACCTTGTATTGGTTTGAAATTGATGTCAAACCACCTCAAGTTTGGAGTTATAGTTCATCTAAAGTAAATCTAAATACAACTTCCAGTTTCCTTTGTATTTAATAAACACCACATTCAATGCAATAAGGAAAATTTTACTATTGATATCCTTCAAATAACACAAAGTAATTCCCTGGTGACAATGCCTTTCAAGAAACAACCATATACCCCAATAACCCTTTCTACACTATTCCTCTTCCCTTTTTCAACCCCATCAAAACATATATAAAATTTACAAAAATAATTGTTACCACATGACATAGGCAAAGACATCCAATTACACAATACTCATTTTTTTTTATCACACGACAAAAGTTTTGCATAATGTTCCACTGGTGTCCCCTCAATGAGGGTCAATGCATGTTTTATAGCCCTCCTATATTTCCTTTCACTCACCTCAATTTTAAACTTTTCAATAACTTTTAATCTTAGCTTCTTAATACTCAAGTTTTGTTTATGAAAGTTTCATTTGTGCAGAATTTCAAAAGAATGATATAAGAAATTTAGTTACATTGGTCAATAGTTATCACCACACGAAAATTAAAAATATTAAAAGTTCATTAGAATTCTCTACTAATTAAAAGAATTAAGTAAATAATTTCTATATTAAACGTCAAATTTACCCCGTTTTTTTGTTGGTCCTTAAATCTTATAATAGACAAATTAAAATAAAATTGGTATATATCATTATCAACTTGTACCAACCATACTTGTTATTGTTGATAGCTGAACAAATTGGTACAATATATACCAAATATTGGTAGCTAAAATTTTGATTACATTAATGTCACTCCGTTTTTCATATCGGTAGATGTAATCAAAAGCGTTGATTATATATATATATATATATATATATATATATACACTAGCAGTTGGCCCGCGCAAAGCGGCGGCAAAAGATTAGTTTGTTATTAGGAAACATATTCCAAAAAAACACTTACTGCATTGGTCAATCAAATATGTAAATTTTTTAAGTTTTGTGTTTTAGTGGACATGTGTTCTAAGTCTATTGATTGTTTTTGTGTTTGTTCGGTATGTATTTTCTTACATTGGATTCGTTATACCAAAAATAGATAATATACAACTACATTTTCATCTGGTATGATACTAGGAAAAGTGTCATCGGTGAATAGCTATCTTTCAGAGACATTTCACATTCCAAAAAACATATGGTGAATATTTTTAATAACAATGTTACTTATATTAATTGGGTAGGTTGGTTTTAACACGCTATTCTATCTCTTTGTTGATTTTGTAGCTTTTGGCTAGATTCTTTCTACAACTCTTTTAACAATAATCTCTTTTGTCCTTCAAAAAAACACATGTGACAAACAAAAAACATTTAGTGGTGGGTTTGCTTTTCGATTGACGTGTTTTTAATATATTTATTGATTTTGCATTTGTTGTATGTGTGTTTTAATATATTAATCAGTTTACATTTGTTGTGTGTGTTTGGTTTGCTTTTGGATTGATTTAGAAATTATCCAATATCACTTATAGAATGTTTAGTTCCTATTTATTAGATTTTGTTCACGATAACTTTTTTTAAGTACTTATAAGAATATTTAAATTAAGTTTTTAACAACCTTTTCTTCATCAAAATACTATGACTACCTTAAGGTATAAATAAATCAATACACATCGGTATATACAAATCAATTCATGCAGAAAAATTAGAAAAATAATTATATTAATATACGTTTTAAAATTGAAAAAAAAAAGTTACAATGATAAGAAACGACGTTTGAAAGTGAACTATACAATATATATGGAGTGTTTAAATAAATTATATGAAATTGGATAAGTGCCACAAACCTTTACATATGTTACTAAACATTACAAGGAAAAAGGAAACAAAATTCTATTTTACCACCAACTCCAAACTGGAACATGAACACATTGTGTGTTTTCGTAAAACTATTGCATAAACAACGGAGCAACAACGCGCTGCATATTGCTTTTTGAAAATTCTATAAATGAACAAACAATGGAATATGGTTGTTTTTGCTGTCACAAAGAAGGAATATGAGAAAATATGGAATGTGTTTTGGATAAAGATGTGTGTTTATCTTATCCTAATTAGTCGGCTCACAAACATACATCTTCTAAATCAAAGGAAAATAAATAAACTTAGAACCCAAATAATTTATTAGAGCTTAAAAATCATAAAGAAAGAGTCATACAAATATTGATACGTTTTATCCAAAAGAGTAGCGGTATGCTTAGTGTATCTATTTGCTGCAATTGGGTGATCACCGAGTTGTAGCCGAGTGTCTGGCTTCACGAATACTTTGTTTCACATCATTCACACCACATAATATGCCCGAATGGTTTTATGCCTTTAAAATTATTGAAGCTTTAATTTGTCTCCTATTTTACATTTGCATCTTCCCTGCAACTATTTGATGTCATAATATCTTAAATCTATAACTATTTTATGCTTTTAAAAAATACATAAGACAACAATAATTCAAATGAACAAAAGGTTATCCTATGACAATAGAAATATATATTTCTCTTTCTTTTTATTCACAAACCCTATTTGGCTATAACTTTTGTCAAGAAGTTTTTTCTTGAGTTAATTCGGGATGATTCACCAGGCTATAAGAACATAAATAATCTAATAAGATTCAAAACTGAAAGAATTGCGATAGTTGGGTAATATTTTTAAAGGTAAAATAAATCAAACTAAAAAGGGAGAAATAAAATTGCACCACTTGATGCATGGACTCAAACTGAAGGTAATTTGTTTGTTTGGTTCCATCATTACTTTTATAGCCTTATGTGTTCCGAGTTAAAGGCAAGTATCAAGATTATCTAAGAAAATCAAATCCAAATTTCTGTTAGCTCTGTATTGGTATAAATTTTCCCAAAGAAAAGAAGATCAAATCCAATCTACATGAACAACAAACATAAATAATATTGATGTACAAGTATATTTAAAAGTCAGTGAGATTAGGCTACCAAAGAGAATATATAAGTGAGAATAGGAGGTGAGTTCACAGAACATACATGCTTTCATATAGAAATCAAGATATGTTAATGTAGGTAATGTAATGGTTACCTTTGGGCATGTTAGATAAACATCAACAAAAAAAGAAGCAATTGTCCTTTGTCTAATTGCATCCAAATATCCAATGTTTCTTCAAGAAGTTTACCCTCGGGATCAGGTGACCTACAATGCAAACCATAACATCATGACAAAATAATCCCTTACAGTTTAGCCACTTTGTATGTTAATAAGCATTCACGTCACAAATAGTTTGAAATCATACATAAAATCAAACAATGGTACCTGAGTTTTTTCATAATCTAATAAATATTCACCAAATTAGTAATATTTTGTCAATTTAAAAACTTTTAAAAAATATCCAAAATAAGAGAAAGGAATTAAGAACTACCTGTTATAGCAGCAACCGTAGTTAGAATCCTTGATTCCTCCTGAGCATCCCGTGAACTTTGTTAACATAATTAATTTTCTAATATTTAGCACATTTTTCGGGCTTGAACCTAACAAAAAGAATCAGATTTAGCAATCTAAAAGTAATAAGCTTAAATCTTGTATGATTGGGTCACCAATTACACAGTTTACATGCTAGATATATGAGTAATTCTTGAACTTAGTGGTACTCACCTCACAACAAGCAATTGGGTGTAGTAGTTCTTTCTCCAGCTGTATCTCAAAATCGAAATCTAACAATTACAAAGTTAGCAATCTACTATAAGGAACAAAGTTAACAAACTGGCAGAAATAAGAAATCGATTTTGCCAATTTGTGTGTAATCAGATGAAAAAAAAAAGTCATTTTTTCCATTTAATTCTCGCTACAACCCTAAAAGACAGAGCATTCTTTCAAACTTTTAGGGTTCACGAAGAGGGGATGTGAAGATGGCGTCGTGTAACAGGAGGACTTATGGAGCAATGGGAAGTAGGTCATCCACCTATCTCCTCCTTCTCTGGGTGGGAGAGATAACATGATATTCAATCCACCGATTTCAATTTCAAGGATGACGATCATCTGTTGAATGCACAAACATAGTTAAAAAGAGGGTTAATTTCGAACCATAATATCACAGGGTAAAATAGTCACATTTCAGTTTCAGGGACAAATATAATGCATGGATGAGAAAAAGAACCATATCGAAGAAATCAAAATCAAACTTGGGAAAATAAAATGTCAAAAACTAAAATTTGTGAAATCAGAAAACAAACCTGGTATGTTGATCAAGTGAGTGAAAGGAGAGGTGACGACGGTGAGGACGTTGACCATGTCAGGTGGTGTCGTGGTTTTGGGTTTTTTAGAGAGATGAAGGTGAAGGAAGAGAGAATTCGCTGGTGTTTGGTGGTGAGATACGTGATCTAGGGTTGGTTACACTGGATGAAGTTGTAACAAAAAAACAAAGAGATGGAGTTTATAGATAGAGGACGATGATTACATAGAACCAAGATCTCAGTGGGCGGGGATTCAACGTTTTTAGGGTTTTAATTGGCTGGGAGAGGAGATGCATTTATATAACGTGTATCTTATGTGTTTTTGATGTGTTTTTGACTGATTTGATCGTTGAAAATGCCGATTCAATTGCTGAAAATATGAGGAGTTTCAATTCAATCCCTGAAAGTAAGGGATACTAATTCAAAAATATTATATTGTTGGTGGATCAAATATTTGTACCTATGGCATTATTATTTGTAAGATTTATATTATAATATTATTATATTAATGATTTGTTGTACACTAAGCTTAAGTACTTGAACGTCTTAAAAAAATATTATTATTATATTGAATTTATTTTTATAAATAGTAAGATTTCTTTTATAAGATAGTATATGTAACACCTATAAAATTCAAGCCAATTTAAAACATTTTATTTCATTTCAAAACCATTAAGTTCATACATCTTGTTTTCAAAATAATTTAAACATCAGAGTATCCCCAGAACCATATCACAAAATCATAAAACATGAGGAGCGGTACGATCACGCCTTCGCCTTGCCACGATCTCCTGAAGTACCTGAAACATAACACTACAACTGTAAGCCCGAAAGCTTAGTGAGTTACCCCCAAAATACCAACCACATAACCATACTCATATCATATCACAATACAGAACAGCCAAGCACATCGGGTCTACTGTGTGACTGGTCCGCCCGCACTGGGCCTTCAGTCACCTGGTCCACCTTCCGAGTCTAGCCATGTACATCGAGTCTACAGTGTGATTGGTTTGCCCGCACCGGGCCTTCAATCCACCTGGTCCACCCTCTGAGTCTACAATATGACTGGTCCGCCCGCACCGGGCCTTCAGTCGGCCTGGTCCACTCTCCGAGCCTCGGCACGTCTGGTCTGCCCTCTTGGGGCCTTCAGCCTATCCGGACCGCTCGCTGGGCCTTCGGTCTATTCGGTCCGCCCTGGGTATGTTGGCCTACAGCACAAAGCAGGACCCGCCTCAACCCAACTTCAGTCAAACAACCATGTGCACATAAAACAATTAATCACATAACAAATCCTTAACCAGACAACCAATCTAACAGATCACATAGCATATCAACATCCTAACCAGGATTCCGACCTATCCGATCACTAGCATAACATTACCCTATATATCGGGTATCGACCTTAACCAGGTCACTAACATAACACCACCCTAAATACCAGGATGCAAATCTAGCAAAGCAACAACATAACAACAAAACCCGGATTTCCATCCGATAAAGGGCCGGCCTTGGTGCCGTAGACCCTGTCAATATAGTGAGGATAACTCACCTGCAATTGCCGACTGAAGAGATACGACCAAGCTGCTCCGACCACCGACACGAACTTCACCACAACACACTACCAAGGAACCAATACCAAAATTACCAAAATACCCTTGGAAGTCAAACTGGTCAACTCTTGGTCAAAGTCAAAGTCCTCAGTCAAAGTCAACCTTCCTGGTTGACTCTACTCGCCGAGTCAACCCGTCGACTCGTCGAGTTCTCATACTCAGAAAACTCCTATAACACGACTCTACTCGCCGAGTCGCCCCAAGACTCGTCGAGTTCAACGATCTCGGAATCCCATCCTGTCCAACTCACTGAGTCGCCAACCGACTCACTAAACCAAAGCTTTAACCAAAAGAGATTGGGTTCTGCGACCAGACTCGCCGAGTCCAAGAACAGACTCGCCGAGTCCAAGGCAATCTTCAACAGACTCGCCGAGTTGTTCTTCAACTCGTCGAGTCCAAGGCAATCTTCATACAACTCGTCGAGTACACCCATGTGACTCGCCGAGTCTCTCCAGTTCTCAATCCATTCAGAGGCTTTTCGAGCCATGCAGGGGCTCCAATCCATAGATCCACTCTTCTACAGCCTAGCCCTCACATAAAGTTGCAAACTTTACGTGAAACCAAGGAGATATAAGCCCAAAACACACTAGGGCTTGGGTTTTAGACAAAAGGGCTTCACCAACAACTCAATGACTGAACTTTATGACATTCTGGACCAGCTCAAGACTAGATCTGAGGTAGCAACCTCAGATCTATATTCTAAACCCGAAATAACTCTCAATCCAAATATGGAACTCCTCATCGACCACCAAGGATGAACCAAAAAGGAAATTAGCATAAGGTTATGGCTTCTTACCTCTGAAATGTGCCCAAACAGATGTAGATCCCATATCCACACAAGCCCCTTGATGCTAGCTTCTATCTCCTCAAGCTTTTTACACCAAAATCTTCTTCCAAGCTCCACTCTCCTCAATCAATGGTGTTTCACACGAACTAGGGTTTGCTGGAACTCTCAGGGTAGCAAGGGGGCCGAGGGAAGGATATAATGTTCTTTATATAGGGTGCAAACCCTAAGATTAGAGTTTTCTCTCTTCAGCACCAACTCGTCGAGTCCTAGCCGCCGACTCGGCGAGTTGGCCACTTAAACCTGCGACAATTACCGCTCCGACTCGGCGAGTAAGCGGACCTACTCGTCGAGTCCCTTCTTCTATTTACACTTTTGGCCCTTCATTGAACTTCTGAAATTTCGGGATGTTACAGTATATATATTATATATATATATATATATATATATATATATATATATATATATATATATATATATATATATATATATATATATAGGGGACGGTTCACTCGAGATTAAAAGAAATAGAGATCTTGAGATTCAACCCCAGCCACATATTTCTCATTTGCCGCTCCAGCGTACCGGCAACAACGATGTACGTCTAATCATAAATGATTATACATATATGTCTGTTCACAGATTGAGTAATCATATATGATTATGACAGTTGGTGGCAGAAGATGTGGTGATGACAGAAGAGGTGGTGGTGGTATAAGTGACAGAGGTGACAGTGGTGGGGGCGGCTGGTGTCGGAGGTGGTGACGGTTGTGGTGGTGGGGATGGTGGCGGAGGAAAATGGTACGGACGACGCTATATAATCATTTATGATTATAATAGGTCTGCCGCGCCTGTACGTTGGAGGGAAATGTTTTGAAAACCGTTTTTTTAGTTGAACCAATATGGTGACCAGTTTCCGGTTCAACCGATTTAACCAGTCCGACCACCGAGTAAACATGTTTCTATAATTCTCATTTTTTTCGTATTTTCCTACACATACATACATAAATCAAGTCTGATGTCCACAAGTTCAAACATTAAAAATACGCATGAAAACAAGTTGTAGATCAATCTAAATACATTAAAATAACACATAACCATAAGTTTTATATCAATCACCATGCATTAAAAAGAAATAAAGTTCTAGATGAATATAAACACATCAAAAAAACTTCATAACATTTATCATGTGCCTTTATTTAGAAAAATCTTAATAGATATGAAAAAACCACCAAAATTTATTATGCAAAATATTTCAATTTCATGTGTTTTTATTCAGTTTAATCGGTTCAACCAGTTTAATTTAGCCGGTTCAACCAAATTTTTGTAAAAACCGGCTGGTTCGTTCCGGTTTAGAAATAGACGTAAAACCGGTGATAGTTGAACCGCTTCACTCTCCGGTTTTCGGTCCAACCGGTTCGACCGACCGGTTCAAATCAAATTTTAAAACATCACCGAAGGGTTAGCGCGGCAGATGTTGAATATGTGACTGAGGTTGAATCTCAAGATCTCTATTTTATTTTTAATCTCAACGGAACCTACCTCTCTCTCTCTCTCTCTCTCTCTCTCTCTATATATATATATATATATATATATATATATATATATATATATATATATATATATATATAGAGAGAGAGAGAGAGAGAGAGAGAGTTAGGTTCAAATGTTTTTAGCAACTATTGTGTGCATAAATGCACCAATAGAAATTTAGGAATAATAAAATTATTAATAAATAATATAAGGGTAATTTTGTAACTTTACATCACCTTCATTTATTAAACCAAAAATAATTCTCTTATATAGATAGAAAACTCCTTAATTAATGGAACAGTTACCATAAAAGGCCCTAAACTAACCCTAGTCGTCCAAGTCCATTGTGTGAGGACGTGTTGTGTTGGTTCCCTTTTTGCTATCGGCCGAGAAAGAGAAATCTGGAGGGGAGGGGCTGTGCGATCGGAAGAGAAGAGGATGAAGAGAAGTGAGGCTGAAATCGAGTAGGAAGAAGAAAGGGGTGCCTGGTGGTGTCGATTTTGAGGTAAGTAGGCATTCTGTTTCATCATGTTTCATTAGTTGCCATCGACGACCAATTAACCATAGTTGCAATCGATTCCAATCGATTCCATTTTTCTTGTGTTTTTGATTTTTGTTTGATGCCAATCGATTCCAATTTTCAACCACGCTTCCATCATTGACTTATGTTGAGGTGCCTGGTGGTGGTCGATGATTCTATGGGTGTTTGGTTGTTGTTGATTTACAGAAAGAACGAGGGAGGAAGGATTTGCAGCCATTAACGTGGGTGGTGACAAACAGCATCTCCGATGAGGGTGGTTTGACAGCGAGGATCGACGGGAAGTAAGGGAAGGGTCTCCGGTCTTTGACTGGCCGCAGGAGGTGTTATCATTCGTCGATCAAGGGGTGTTTGGCTGGTTTACTGGTCGTCGATCATCAATCAGGTAAAAAAATTCTCTTTTTTATTTGGTGTTTAATAGAAATCATTGGGGTGTTTGGGTTTTCCTGGAAAATCGATATAATGAAGGGGATATGGGTTTGAGTTTTGAAAGAAATCCATGGGTGTTTGGATTGGGTGTTTGAGCTTTGGTGTTTTGACAGGGAAAATGAAGGAGAAGCAATGAAGGTTTGACGCCCTATTTTCTTGATTGATTTGTCAAGAACAACACCGTGTTCTTGACTGGAACATGATACTCAGAAGAAGAAATAAGGAAACTGGATGTTGCTTCTTTGGTGATTCATTGACTGTCAATCAAAAGGAAACACATGTTGAAACAGAATAAAAGTTAATTTAAAATTCAATCAGGTATCTTATTTTCTTTATTGGTTACAATATTCTATTATCTGAGATTTGATCAGATAAATATGAATACATTAAATTCCAACAGAATATCTGAATCGATTCCAATTTTCAACCACGCTTTAGTTGTTTTGTTTTTCTAAACCATTTGAATTGAGTAAAATTATATAAAAAAACTAAAAACTTCTGAGTTTTGTAGATAATAAGAAGAAAACAAAAGCTAAAAGTTGGTGTGTATTTTTTGTGGTGATGTAAGCAGGAACATGTGTTTCTTTCAAATATTCATGATTCAGATATTCTATTGGAATTTAATGTATGTTAGGATGATGCAGGAATGATGAGGTAACTTATGAAAAAAAGATATGTGATACTTCATTCTCAAAGAATGAAGAAAAACAACAATATTCTTTCAGAATTTCAGGATTCAACATCCAAAAACAGCAATATTCTTTCAGAATTCAAGAATTCAAGAAGAAAACATGGAGAACGAGAGTATTCTAGCAGAATGTTGTTATTTTTTAAGAATGTTATTCATTTTTGTTGATATTCTTTTTAGAATATTTATAACTATATTTAAAATGTATAAGACTTTTAGTCTGTAAGAATATGTATGAATTTGTATTTAAGTTCGGATGTATAAGAATATATTAGAATGTTTGTTATTTTTCAACATCTTATTCAAGAATTTTGTTTTTCTTCAATAATATTCTTATTAGAATAAAATTCTAAAAGAGTATCATTCTAACAAAAAATATTCTGATAGAATAAAATCGGTAAAAATTGAAATTGAATTAATTAAAAAATTCAGATTTTTTTAAATTAGGAGAATTAATCATCCCTAAAAATTCGAAAATTTCCTTTTATAAATGTAGTTAATTGTCCAAAATACCCTTTTGCTAAAAGTTGTGTGATTATATGGTACATATTACCCCATTGTAATATCATACACTCTCAAATCATGTTCATTGATTAATTTCATCCGTTGGTCCAGATCTGTGCATTCTGACACACAATACTTAGTAAAATCAAAATAACCTAACCCTATATATATATATATTATATATATATATATATATATATATATATATATATATATAATATATATATATATATATATATATCCGAAATTTATTAATGTAGGTCCTATGAAGTGGTATCCAAAGCAAAACACTTTTTAGCTAACAAAGGGTGTAGGGGTGACCATATCATTTCCCAGTTCCCACACATTCTTTAGCCAGTGGTAAAATCGTAATAAAACTATGAAATGCAACATTTGACAGTTTACAGTTTACATGTCTAAATTTCCCCGGTCCAACTTCCTCGCCTTCCCAATATACACACGCACACAGAATTCACATATAATTTCTTTTCTTTCTCTCTCACTTTCCCGATCAGTCTTTTCCGGTGATCAGCCTACTTTACGTTCATTCTATCAGTTACGGCAATCGTCCGGTAATTTCTTCTCCAATAATGTTCGTTCGTCAGCTGACAATTACTACTCTTTGCTGAAAAAAGTTCTACAAAACCGATTCAGTTTCTTATGTCACAATTTTCCTGTTCTTTTCACGTGATTTTTTTCAGCTGTATTTCGATATATGTAGAATTTATACACTGATGATCATTGCTGTGTGTATTTAGAGCGAGAAGAATGACGTCAGGTACGAGAATGCCGACATGGAAGGAGAGGGAGAACAATAAACGGAGAGAGAGGAGGAGGAGAGCGATTGCCGCGAAGATATTCTCCGGACTGAGGATGTACGGGAATTACAAGCTGCCGAAGCATTGTGATAACAACGAAGTCCTCAAAGCCCTCGCCGGCGAAGCTGGTTGGACCGTCGAACCCGACGGCACCACCTATCGTAAGGTATAATTCTGTTCGTAATACATTTCATTTCATCAATCGTTAATCATCAACTTACAGTAATTCTTCAAGGTCACATAATTCCGATGTCTCTCATCTCATCATTCGTACCAGTAAATTCTCCAAATTCTCAGAACAGAAGGTAATTGATAGAACAAAAATCTACAAAATCCTCTAATCTTATACGGAATAAATGTAGTAATTAGGATCCAACGGAGTCGAATCTGTAAAGCCCTTCGCCGGTGACTACGTGATGGTGGCGTGTTTTAGCAGGTCGTCGGAGTATCAATACGTTCCATGCGCTCTCGATTACTGGCGCACTTAGCAATACGCTGACGTGTATAGGCTCTGATTTCTATGCATTTTAACAGAGAATTGTTAAGATTTTTAGGATTTTATAACTTAAACATTGCTTTATCTCTGCTTCTGATCCTTCTCCGTGCCGGCGAAATTAGATCCGGTCAGGATTTGCCGGAGACTCCGGCATCCTTTTGTTCAGAAGCGCAAATCTCAAAGAATTCCGTAGTAAAAAAATCTAGAAAGACGTTAATACTGTAATACCCTCGTCGGTGTTTCAGAATTTCTTCCCCGGTTTCGAATTTACGCATCGTTTAAGGGTTATTTTTGGCATTTTGCAATTTTGCTTTTTCTCCGATTACAGATCTGGTGCAACTCTTTTTTTCTCTTTTGGATAAACTTATTATTGGCAATTTCATGTTTGCTTTAGTTTTGCAAACAGGTCCTTTTTCAGTATGTGGCAGTTTCTGTCCCAAAACTGCAACAATGTATTCATTCTATGTTCATAAAAGCTCATTTCTTTCATCCAAATTCAGAACAACGTTGCATCATCACTTGTACATACTGCATCTCAACGTGTATATTTTTCCGAGTTCAGAAATGTCATGGCGTCATGCCTTTCGAAAATAGGACAGCAAAAACTTAAAACAATACCCAAAATAAGTAGAAATATTTGTATATGAGTGGTACTTTGCTATTATTGTCTTGCAAGGTCATGTTTTCACTATTTGGGGTGTCATTTATTAATGCTAGTAGTTTGGTACTTACTCTCTCATACCAATTAATGTCAAACAAAATACTCAAAACATAATTTGGTAAATACTCTTTTTATACTAGCCTTATCAAACGTATATACAAATAGTAGACAACTTACTTTATCATGTAGAAAGATAAAATGGTTAAACAATTCAAGACAAATATTAAGTCCTCGATGATAATTTACTTTTAGGGATGCAAGCCTTTAGAGCGAATAAACATTAGTGGATCGACGTCAGCAAGCCCATGCTCATCATACCAACCAAGCCCATACACTTCATATCACCCGAGCCCAATTGCAAGCCCATCTCATAACCCTCACCCCGATTCCCTCATTCCATGGCTCAAGAATCTATCCTCCTCATCGAACTCTACAAAGCTTCCGAATCTTTACATCCAAACAGGGTCCATTAGTGCACCCGTGACCCCACCCATTAGCTCCCCAACTGCCCGAATCAAAACCGACATTACATGGGGCATGGGTCCCACGTCTCCAACTTTTAACCTTGTAGCTTCGAACTCGTTTGGGTTCAAGGAAGGAGTTATATCTCATGGTGGATCGCGGATGTGGACACCTGGACAAAGTGGGATGTGTTCGCCTGTAATTCCTTATGGATTTGACAACAATGGTGATATTCCAATGGCGGAATTGGTTTCGGATGAATTTGCGTTTGGTTGTAATGTGGGAAAGAAAGTGAAGCCATGGGAAGGAGAGAGGATTCATGAGGTGTGTGGGTCTGATGATCTTGAGCTTACTCTTGGGATATCAAAAATGAGGTACTATATTTTGGTAGAAAATATTAAACAAGTAATTATGTGTTTACAAGTTAAGAAGATTTATATGAACTTTTACTTTTGTGACAGATAAATTGGAATTTGGAGAAGAAAGGAAATCGTTGTGATGAGGAAAATTGAGAATGGATGGATGGTTTGATGCAAATTTGTGAAATTGGTCCAATATTTATAAGTTTTCCTTGTTAAAAGTATGTTGCCCAAATCTCTACTGAAATCCATGCGGTTTTTATGTATCTTCTACTTGTGAATGAGAGTCTGATTTTAATATGAAACAACGTGTAAAATGAGCAAGTTACATTTTTGGTCCCAAATAACTTTCGTTTACCAAGACTTGAGTCCACTAGTTCCAGTAGACTCCCTTGCTCTTGTAGCACATATGCCCGATCACTGATAAAAATCTGTTAATCAATCCGGGCCTTAAAAGAAATAAAGGAAATAGTAACATACTTTTGCCTTTTTTAACTGATATGAACGATATACTTTACTTCTTACTGATAATAGCAGCATACATACGTTTTTTCTAACATGAACCGAATTGGTTACCATATGATTTTTTTTTTCAACTTTTTGCTTGGAGTAAATTAAAATTTTGCTGTGAGTTTACCACGTTTTTTTGGTTTTGGTCCATAAAGTTTCCTGTTTGTAGTTTTTTGTCGTTATTTAATGTTTTGTAAAACTTTTGCTCCCCACTCCAAGAAAAATACTCTATTACCCTCTATCTTTTTATAAATATTTATATTATTATTATGAAGGGAAAGAGCCATAGGGGTAATATTAATCATTTTACCTAGTATAGACTAGACGTTACGAAAATCTCAAATGAGGACTAAAGTCACAAGAAAAGGAATCTTTAGGGATCAAAACAAAAAATATGAGCTACTTGTAGACCTAAATTGTAATATACTCTTTTGCTTATATGGCATTCAACCAATGATGATGTGGCAAACAACTGTCATATCTTCAGATACTACATAAGCAAATAGTTTGAAAACAATTCAAATGGTAACCGTCTAACCGATTACTTGTTCTCCATGTTGAGAAAACCAAATGTACTTTGGTACTAATAGTTAAAAATTAAAATATATATTGCTGATATCGATAAAAGAAAAAAAGGCAAAGTAAGTTTCTGTTTCCTGCAATAGTTTCACGTGTAACGGTAACAAACAAATGATTACTTGTCTAGCTATTTTGAAGGTGAGGTTTTCAGTATCAACATATTATCTTGACAAGATCTTCATATTTTTTAGGCTAACAAACTTTTTATACGAGCCCCTGCATAGTGCATAGGTCAAGGAGTCCATCACCCATTCATCCTGAAAACCAAAGAATAAAAATCATAATTTAAATGATTTTCGTCTCCTCTACCCAAAAAAGAAAAATTGTAATCAATTTATAATAAATATCACTTTTAAACAGAAGAGTAAAATAATAATTTCTCATATTCAGACTGTTTCAAAAAGAAGCTATCTCTGTTTATATAACATTTACTAGTAACACACATTATTTATCCTTTCAACAATTCAATAAATCACAGACAAGCAATCTTGTTTTGTCAAGTATGTATGTATCAAGTCTTTAATGGTAATGTATGTTGGGGCTAACGGATATTGGTGGATCTACATCAGCAAAACCATGTTCATCATACCAACCAAGGCCCTATGCTTCATCTTCAATCACAAGCCCATCTTCTTCCCGTTATACTCACACTCACAATCCTCACCCTGTGATTCAGTCATTCCATGGATTAAGAATCTATCGGCCTCATCAAACTCAACCATGCTTCCCAATCTTTAGAAGTTAAAGAAGTAATTACGTATTTAGCAGTTAGAACATTTATATGAACTTTTATGCTTGGTAACATTTATGTCAAAGTTTCAAGTAAAATGACTTTTTTTTTTTTTTTTTTTTTTTTTGCAAAAACCAGCTATATTCATAGACTAAAAATAGTCATTCTACTGGGAACATAGACCAAAAACGTTACAAGAACTTCTTAAGTAATTACCAACATTGCAAGAGAAAATTCATTTGATATCAACGCTACAAACATCAGCTATACTCAGGGACCAACAATATATATTACTCTCTATATAAACCACGAGATGTATTCAAACAAAATACATTGTAAATTATGAAGTACCACAAAAAATTAAACAGACCATCTGTAATCTATAAATAATTTGTACAAATCACATATATAGAAAAGGAAGAAATAAATCATCTTATACCATAAACCTTACAGATTCACATATCAACATCATAAAGATCCGGAAGAAGCTTCATCTCATGTGACTCATCCTTATACAAAGATGTATCCATCCACGGACGATGAGTAGAGATGCTTCTGAGGCCTTGACTATCTGCTAAGTGAGTTGAGACTTGTGGTTCATTGTCATGTAACAACATGTCAAAAGCTTTAAACCTCAAGTCAGGATTCTCCACCTCTCGTTTCACCACTGGGGGCAGAAGTGGTAATTTCCCATCCAACATTTTGACAACTGATGACATTGGTGGGCGAAGTGTGGGAGATGGATTTGTGCATTAGAGAGCTATATTCAACATCCTCATTGCCTCTTCTTTTGAGTATTTGCCAAGACTTGGGTCCACTAGTTCCAATAGACTCCCTTGCTCTTGTAGCACATATGCCTGATCACCCATAAAAGTCTGTTAATCAATTCGCGCCTTAACAAGAAAGGGAAGGGAAACAGCAGGGAGGGCAATATAGTCATTTTACTTGGAGAAGGGACCAATGGAAAACCTCAAGTAAGGACCAAAACTTAAGAAAAAAAAAGAAGAAGAAAGTTTAGGTACTAAACCGAAAAAAATGAGCTAAACTCCGAGACCAAAATTTTAATTTACTCTTTTACTTATTTGGCATGCAGCCAATGATGATGTAGCAAGCTATTAGACAAATGTTATATATATTAGGCATTAATTACATGTTTATATTCTAGAGGGATCATAGTGTAAATATATCTATTATTAATATTTATGTAATCGTGACATTCTGAGAAGATATACAATTCACGTTTTACCAATTTAACTTGGTATCAGAGCCGCTATTCCCTAACCCTAAAATTGGCGCCACAGCAGCCCTCAAGATCATCAACCGCACTAGACAGCTACAATCATCCACATCAACCTGCACCTGTTTCTACTCTTTCTTCCTCTTTTCTCTTGTCGATCAGTACACATTGACATTAGCCAATACAATGGCGCCTCTCACAGCATTCACTACTGCAGAGAAAACAGCCCACAACTCTCATAAATTTGCCTTTACTTTGTCCCCAAACAACTATGGCTACTGGAAAACTATGTTACAGCCCTTTCTGGTTACAAACAACCTGTTCGGGTATGTTGATGGCACCATACAGTGCCCACCAGCCACCATCGTGTCCACCACCCCTACAGGAAAAGAAGGCGACACCATGACCACATCCACATCTACTACTAACCCTTGTTACAATACATGGGTCTCTAATGATGCGCATGTTCGAATGCTTATTCTGTCCACCATCTCTGAGACGTCTTTTCAGCATGTTCAAGGTAATACATCACGTGATCTTTGGCTGTCTTTAGAAAGTGCTTATGCTCCTCATACTTCTTCTCGTGAATATACTCTTAAAACCCAACTTCTGAAAATCACAATGAAAGAAGATGAGTCCTCATCTGCTTACTTAACCCGTGCACAAGAGTATTCTAATGCTCTTGCTAATATTGGCGAACCAGTTAAAGAAAAGGACCTTGTCATGCTGGTTATCTCTGGCTTAAGAGAAGAATACAATGGCTTGAAATCTACCCTTTTAGCAAGACAGTCTCCAACAGCCTTTGCTGAACTTCATGGTCTACTGTCCGACCATGACTACATGATTACAAAGACCTCCACAGTGATGCCACCAGCCCAAGCGTTCACAACCACCACTAGACAGCCCGGTTCCATGGCTGCTGGTTCGTCTCTATCACAAGATGAAGCAATCCAAGCTGTTCAAAAGCTTGCACAACAGCTGGGGTTACAGCTTCAGCCAACTAATTCAACATCAGCTCAAGCTTTTTACAAAAATCGATCAGGAAACAATCGCAACAGCCGATCAACAAACAACCGTGGGCGTGGCAGCTACAACAATCGTCCACAAGGAGGAGGTAATAGAAACCAATTTAGTTGGGCATCTAATCAAAATACTGTGTATGGTACATGTAACAGGTGCGGTATTGGGCATGTTCCGTCTCAATGCCCTAATCGAGATCCCTCCACCATACGTGTGAGACAACAACAACCATCCGCTAATTTTGCAGATTATCGATCCCGGGCCTCCTCTACCTGGGTCACTGATACTGGGTCTAGTCATCATGTTGCATCCGATCTCTCGAGCTTTGATCACTCCGAGGCATACCATGGCCATGACAACTTACATGTTGGCAACGGTAAAGGTTTACCCATTCTCCATATTGGCTCCTCTAAACTCTATTCTCCTAATAAAACTTTTCATCTCTCACAAATTCTTCATGTTCCAGAAATCAAACAAAACCTTCTTTCTGTTCAAAAATTCTGCGATGATAATAATGTTTATTTTGAATTTCACACTTCCTTTTTTGCTGTGAAGGACGAGAATACTCACACTACCCTCCTCATGGGTCCAAGTAGTGGCGGCCTTTACTCCTTCCACCTTCCGCAGTTGCAGTCTACCTCGTCTAAAGTTGCTTTCTCCGCTACTCGTGCTTCTTCCGTCACTTGGCATCAACGACTTGGACATCCCCATCCGTAGCTGTTGAAGTCAATGATTTCTAGATATAGTTTACCTTTATCAAACAATTTTGTCAATTCACCTTGTGATTCTTGTTCTATTGGAAAATCTTCAAAACTTCATCTATCATCTTCTACTTATAAAAGTTCTCATATTTTAGATTTACTCTTTTGTGATGTTTGGGGACCAGCCCCTGTTACTTCTTTTGAAGACCATCGATATTTCTTACTATGTGTTGATCATTTTTCTAGTTTTATGTGGATTTTTCCCTTAAAATCCAAATCTGATGTCTTTAGTACTTTCCAACAGTTTCTTCTTACAGTAGAACGACAATTTCAAACCAAACTAAAATATGTTCAAACTGATTGGGGAGGTGAATTTCGAAACCTCTCTAAGTTTTTCTCATCTCTCGGCATTACTCATCGCTTGTCTTGTCCTCACACCAGTGAACAGAATGGCGTTGTTGAGCGTCGTCACCGTCATGTGGTCGAAACCGGCCTCACTCTTCTTGCTCAATCCGGTGTTCCACAACGGTTTTGGCATTATGCTTTTGACACAGCCGTCTATCTCATAAATCGTATGCCTTCTAGAACCAACTCCAATATCTCACCTTTCGAACATGTTTTCAAACACAAACCTGATTTTTCCTTTCTTCGTGTGTTTGGTTGTCGATGTTATCCACATCTCCGTCCGTATAACAAGCATAAAATGGATTTCAGATCTCTTCCGTGCATTTTTCTTGGATATAGCACCTCCCACCATGGTTATCGGTGCTTTGACCCTCTTTCCGAACGCCTTTATATCGCTCGTCATGTTCGTTTTCATGAACAATTATTCCCTTACCAAATCAGCCCATCATCTCCACCCACATCTTCCTTTGATCCTTATACATCCTCTTATCCTAATCCTGTACCTGTACCTGACATATCAACTCCTTCCAATACATCCCCTACACCTCCTACGTCACCTACACCATCTCCTTCCAATACATCCCCTCCACCTCCTATATCACCTACACCATCTCCTTTCAATACATCCCCTACACCTCCTACATCACCTACACCATCTCCCGCATCATCTTCTTCCCCTATATCTCCACATGAACCTCCTCTTCCGCCTCTCCTTTATACCTTTGCTCGACGCCCTAAAACTACCACCACCTCTCAACCAGAAAACACCACATCTCAACTAGCACATTCTACCTCCCAACCCGACAGTTCCTCCTCTCTACCTCGTCCTCGTCCCTCTAATTTGCGTCCTAATCCTAAACCCTCTCAACAAAAGACTATCTCGCGATCATCAACAGAATCCGAGTACAAAGCCTTAGCCGATACAGTTGCTGAACTCACATGGCTTCAAACTCTTCTACAGGAACTACGATTTTCTACTCGTACTGTTCCAGTTCTATGGTGTGATAATCTTGGTGCTACATACCTATCTGCTAATCCTGTCTTTCATGCTCGTACCAAACATGTTGAAGTTGACTTTCATTTTGTTAGAGAAAAGGTTGCTCAAAAACAACTCCTGGTGCAGTTCATCAAAACAGATGACCAGATTGCAGATGTGTTCACTAAACCACTGCCTTCTCAACGTTTTCAGTTCTTGCGGTCCAAGCTAAGAGTCGCTCCCCGACCTTAGCTTGCGGGGGAATATTAGACAAATGTTATATATATTAGGCATTAATTACATGTTTATATTCTAGAGGGATCATAGTGTAAATATATCTATTATTAATACTTATGTAATCGTGACATTCTGAGAAGATATACAATTCACGTTTACCAATTTAACTCAAGCAATTGCCAAATCAAATACTTCCACATAAGCAAAAGTTGAAAAATATTCAAATGGTAATCGCTTACTGGTTCTCCATGTTAAGAATAGTTGTTTTTGGTAGAAAATCGTAAATACATTGCTATTTGTGGGTAAAAATTAGATTATATTTCCCACATCAATAAAAAAGACAAAAGTATTTTCCTGCAAATTATTATTTAAAAAAAAAATTGAAGTTACCCAGTCGAGAAGGTAGACAAACTCCTCCTTTGGCCTATAATTTGTATTGCTTTTCCCGCTCACAATCTCCAAAGCCACAACTCCAAAAGCTGTAGACATCCGCTTTATCTGTTGAGTATCCTCTCATTGCATATTCTGGAGCCATATAACCTCTATAAATTTACACCATAAAAATATGTCAGATTTTTAATGAAGTTACATCATTAAAAAGTATAAAAATTACATTTCTGGTCCCGGAGTATGGATATTTTCTGCAATTTTGGTCCCAAAAAGTTCTCTTGCAAAAATTGTTCTTATGATGTTTTTGGTCCCTGTTCCTAGAAAAAATAGCTATATTTTTGGGACAAAAAATGCAATAAATCAACTATACTCAGGGACCAAAAATGTAATTTACTCTAAAACAATATGCTTACATCGTTCCAGCAATTCGTGTGCTGATATGAGTATTCTCTTCTTCATCAAGTTTTTGCCAAACCAAAATCTGATATTTTTGCATTAAGATCCTTGTCAAGAAGCACATTTGTGGCTTTTATGTCTCTATGAACTATTTTCAATCTTGACTCTTCTTGTAAATATGCTAATCCCTTTGCGATTCCCATACATATCTTCTTTCTTGCTGACCAGTTCAAATGAAGCTTCTGATCCTCTTGACCTATTAAAAATCACAATTTTTAAAACTAGGAAACTGCATGATGGATAGTGAAAAATATTAAAAGTATTTAGTTATTTACCAAAAAGGGCACGTGCGAGACTGTTGTTGATGAGGTATTCGTATACAAGCAACAACTCTTTTCCTTCGATACAACAACCATAAAGCTTCACAAGATTTGGATGTTGTAAAGCGGATATCATTCCTATTTCAGTCACAAATTCACGGTTTCCTTGCTTTGATCTTGCTGAAAGTTGTTTAACAGCAATCTCGGAACCATCCGAGAGTACGCCCTGTGATTCAACAAAACGCATAAACTTTAATATAAATAAATATAAAAATGGAATGTTACTATTTTCTGCAATTTGCCCAAATAAGAGGCCACATCTGAAACCTACCTTATAAACTGGTCCAAATCCTCCTTCACCGATCTTGTTTGTAGGATCAAAGTTATGAGTAGCGGATTTAATTTGTCGCAGGCTGAAATACCCCGTTTGTAATTCAAGCGCTCGAAGCTCTGTTGTTGAATACTAAAACCAGTTAGAATTGTTTAAAATCTTATACACATATTTTTTTAGATATTGTTTCTTGCCTTTATCTTCTTTGTCTCCTCGTATATAACCTCTCCACCAAAGTAGAGCTAATACTAGTCCACATGAGCCAATCACAATTCCAGCAATAGCTCCAGCAGAAAGTCCACCTGTGTTGATGTCGTAGTCTGCAACAAGGGAGAATAAGTATGTTATATGTGTTCTTGTATAATTGTAATTTTTTTTTTCATTTTCATCATTGAAAAGCCCTAGAAAGCTTATTGAGTCCAGTCCAATCAATCACGTCATGTCCCCTTAAGTTTTTTCCCATGTAGCAAATGCAGCCGTAGTTGAGTCCAGTCCGGTCAATCATCTTTTTGGGTAGTAGAAAGATGGTAGTATTAGACGAACGGGTGTGGGCAACGCGCATGAGGCGTTATCTTACGTGGCATACGCCCTTAACGGCGCCATGGCGGGGAACACCGCCCCAGGGTCGCGTTAAGGCGCGTTACGCCACGGCGCGTTATGGTGACAACGGGTGATAACGGGTGATTTTCTCTTTTTTTCGACATAATTTTGACCGTTTGAAACGGTAACATAAAAAAATCAACTTTTATATATATATATACTATATCAAATCATATTTCTTTCATTTTTACCTACAAAATTCTCTACATATTTCTTTCAATATTTCAAAACCAAAATATAGATGAATTTGATCCGGCCCATCCGTACAACGATGATAACGACGAAGATGATTTGTTCGTGAGTATGATGTACCAGTATTATACAGGCAGCCTAGTACAGCTAGATCCAGCTCCATTACTCACGCGTCGTGCGGCGTTAAATAGAGATCGCGAGGAAGGGCATAGACGACTAGTTAACGATTACTTTGCGGAAAATTGTGTCTACCAACCAAGCGATTTCAAAAGAAGATTTCATTTGCGAATTTTTTTTTTGAAAGGATAGCCAACGCTATGGAAGCAAGGTATCGTTTGTTTCAACTTTTATAATTTATAAAATGTCACTTTTAAATAAATAGAGATATAATTTTTACGTGTTTAATATTTATTTAGGTATGAATTTTTCCAAATGAGATATGATGCTAGAGGCAAACGAGGCTTCATAGGGTTGCAAAAAATGTGTTGCTGCAATTAAACTTATGGCAATGGGGGAGTCGCCCGATTCTATTGACGATTACATGAGAATGTCTGAGAGGACCGCACGAGAAAGTTTGTATTTATTGGCAAGAGGTGTTGTCGAAACCTTCGGTGACCAATACTTGCGCAAACCTTCGTTGCATGATATGCAACAATTATATGCGGCACATGAAGAAAGACATGGTTTTCCGGGTATGCTTGGGAGCATTGACTGCACACACTGGAAATGGAGAAATTGCCCCGTGGCGTGGAAAGGCCAGTATTCGAGCGGTCATCATGGAGCGCCTTCATTGGTATTAGAGGCTGTTGCTTCACAAGATTTATGGATTTGACATGCTTTTTTCGGGGTTGCGGGTTCTAACAACGACGTCAACATTCTCGATCAATCACCGATATTTGACGATCTTTTGTCAGGAAAAGCCCCGGATGCTCCTTTCACAGTGAATGGAAATGAATATAAGTTCGGGTATTACCTTACAGACGGAATATATCCACAATATTCTACGTTTGTGAAGGCGTTTCGACACCCAATAGATCCAAGGGACAAATATTTCAAGATATGACAAGAAGGAGCACGTAAGGACCTTACGTTGAACGTGCTTTTGGGGTTTTGAAATCAAAATGGCACATTGTTGAACATGCGGCGAGACCTTATGAGTTAGATACTCTACGATATATCATGTATGCATGTATCATAATGCATAACATGGTTGTCGAAGATAAAGGACACAATATTGCAACGTATTCTCCTACGGAACCAAGACATGTGCAATTTCAACCAGGGACATCAGAATATTTACATAGAGTGGTTGATATTCAAGATCAGCGAAAACACAAGCAACTCCGTGAAGACTTGGCGGATTATATCTATGTTGGTCACGAAGATGAAGATGAATAGTTTTAGGGCAAAAAATGTAGGTTTTATCATCTTTTTTTTTGTTTTTTTGTTTTTTTTTAGGTTTTTAAATGTTTTTGTGTTTTGTTGTAATTTTTTTAATGTTGTTTTTAATTTAAGATTTATTAAAATTTTATTTTTTACTTTTCAAATATAAATAAATAAAAAAACAAATTCGAAATATAAAAAAAAACATCAAAAAAAAATAAAAATAAAAATAGAAAATAATTGGTGTTATCACATGTTATTAGATGTTGCCCATTTCCACCTTGGGTGTTATAACACCATGTATGAGTAGGATGCTGACATGACACCTTTTGGGTGTGGTAACATATGATAACATGTTGCCCACACCTAGTAGTCTTACTTACTAGGTATTATTTCGATGGCAGATAAAAGAGGCCCATATACACCTCGTTGTGGAATGGCAGTTGTCCCCTTTCCAGCCCGGTACAAGTGAATATCTAACGTGCTTCCGTTAACCACAATATTATCAAAATCTCTAGAAATCCCAATTCCAACACCTCCAGCTTCTTCCATAATGTTAAAGCCTTTCCGTTGCAAAACACCCTACAAAACAAAATTAAATTCATAAACTAAAATTTATATACAATAAAATAAAATAAAATTGGGAAGTGTTATTCTATTATAGACTTAAATATCATTAATTCTTACCGACTTGGATTGATATATCGAAATAGCGTCTTCCAAGGCTTGAAAATGTGGAATCATTTGTGAAACTGATTTCAGCGAAATGGAGCCTCACTTTATAACTCCCTTTCCTCAAACATAATCCATAGTACCTAAGTGAAGTGGGAGAAAAGCGGGCTGATGTGTATATTTCGCCACCTGTCACATTTGTATTGGTTCCAACAAATGGGGCAGTCCTGTTGCCCATGAAAACACCGTTAGCGCTATAAGCCCATCCATCCGATTCAGTATAGAAATAAGATTGCTCGTTGTTACATCCCATTTGATATTCGTTTCCCTCAAACACTGTTCTAGCTCCACCACAGTTAATAAACAAAGAATGATCTGGAATTTCAGATACATTTCCAGATTTAGATACTGATATAATATAATAATAATTTACAAAATAAGTTTAGTAATTTCTTACGGATGGGGTTTCTGCTGCAACTAATTTCGTCTGTTAAATACCAACTGTCTCTAAAAGATTCATTAAACATGTTAGGTAACATCATTATAGACAATTGAAAAGTTTTATGTGTGCCAGATTGCGGAAAATAGCAATCTACTTTACTCTTTATACCAATATAAGCAATGTACTTTATTTTTTTTACCCATAATAGCAATATGCATGCATTTATTTACCCATAATACCAACACACTTACTCTTTTTACCAAAAATATCCATATATACTAGTAATAGCAACATAATTACATCACTATTATAGGCAAAAATACACTGCTTTTATCAGTAAAGTTTTGTAAGTACGTTTCTGTTATGGGTAAAAAATAAAGTACATTTCCTCTATTGAAACCGAGAGCAAAGTACATTGCTATTCTCTGCTTTTATGTGAATGGGTTGACAGGGGACATACCTGTTGGGTGCAGGGGCTGAAGGTGACAAGGCTGAAACCAAATTCCTGTTATAAATAAAGGTATATATATATATTATATATATATATATATATATATATATATATATATATATATATATATAATTAGTGAATATAGAAAGTAATGATATTGTGATATGGTAAAGGAAGGGTAGAATAGGAAAACTCACACTCTAGATGACCCACAAGAGTGCAGTGGAGCATTTATAAAATTGTTGTAAGATAAGTCACTGCAATAAACATAATGGTGATCTTGTACCTCCAACTCCACAACATCAACATAATACCAACATACTTACTTATAGCATAATGATAAGGGAGAATTGAGGAGAATAGAAACATATTTTGCTCTTCATTATCAACATGGGCAATGTACTTTATATTTTGCCCATAATAGCAATGTATATATATATATATATATATATATATATATATATGCAGATAATACCAATGTACTTTTATTTTTACCTAAATAAGCAACATACTTGCCTTTTGCTACACATTATGTATAAAGAAAATGTATATTATGAATTACATATAGCTATTTTTCGGAAAAATGTAAGTACATTGCTATTATGGGTATGTAAATCAGTAAATGTAAGTATATTGCTATTATGGGTAAATGATGAAATTACATTGCCTATATTAGTAAAAAGAGTGAAGTACAATGCTATTTCCTAAAATTTTCCCTAATAATAATAATAATAATAATAATAATAATAATAATAATAATAATAATAATAATAATCAAGGGGTATCACTTACATCTTGTCTGTGCGAACAAACATCCACTCTGGAATGTTCCGGATAGTAAGTTGTTATTCAGAAACCTACATCCATGGACAAAATATTATATCTCAAAATAACAAATTTAATCTCAAAATTAAAATAAGAAATAAATTATAACATCTTATGATGTAGTTGTAATTGCATACAAGGCATCAAAGTCTATAAATTGAAATAATTCAGGTACTGGACCATCCAACCGGTTGAAGCTCAGGTCTCTGCAAATAAAAAATTAATTCAGACAACAAATTTAAATTAATAAAACTGTAGCACAAAGTCACAAAATAAATAAATAAATAAAAATCTTAACATTAATACTAGCAACTGACTTACATGTTTTTTAAATTGACGTATCGTCCATTAATGTAGTTAGGTATTGGGCCAATAAGCAAACAATTTCTCAAAATCCTGCATCAAAATTATATGTAAGTATCATAACACACTTATTATGTTAAATTTTTTTTTCTTTCACACAAATTATTTAATCAACTCACAAATCCTCCATGTTTGTCATAGCCTCCAGATTAGGAAATGGCGTACTTGATGATCCAGTCAAATCAGATATCCTCCTGATATAAAATAAGTTCAATGTTAATAAAGTCTATTACCATAAAATTATTGACTGAAAATTCAATAAAATTAAAATAATGTGCTCACAATGAATTCAAGTTTGTCAGCAGAGATATTGTAGAAGGAATGGGTCCAGACATGTTCGTTCCTTGCATATCACTGCAAAATAAATTATACATAATTAAAGTTTTAAAATTTTTAATCACAATAAAGAGGGTAAAATAATACTCACAGTCTTGTGAGATTTCTCCAGTTTCCGATAAAATCAGGTATACTCCCAGATAATGTACTCCCATCTATCCTACTGCAAGAAATGTTTAAAAAAATTAAGATATAACAATTTATATAGAGTACTTAATGAAAATAAGTATAATTTATAGAAGATATCTATGACTTACAAATCTTCTAAATTAGTCAGATTGCCATAAGAATCCGGTATAGTTCCAGTAAAGTTATTTGCAGAAGCAACGCTGCAATAAAAAAAAGTTTCTTGTTAACTACACGAAAATATATATAAACATTATAAAAGAAGTATATAATAAATAATCTTACAATCTTCTCAAGCGAGACAAGCGTCCAAGTTGTGGAGGAAGTGGTCCTCCAAGAAGATTGTCTGACATGACCCTAAAGGTCAAAATAGTAAATTCTATAAAAGGTCTCACTCACATAGGGTGAACATGAAAGGCAAGGATTTTTACTTACAACTCCTCAAGTGTAGACATATCACCTAGTGCTTCAGGTATAGACCCATTGATGCGGTTCCCCAAAAAACTCCTATGGAAATACAGTGTCAAAAGTACATTCACAAGGGCAAAATGGGAAATTTGAAACAAAAAGTAACTCTTACAAAATGCGAAGACGAAGCTGACCGTAACTTGCAGGAATAGGGCCACTGATATAGTTGCGAGACAAATCTCTGCATGAAGATGTATCATATTACACAAAATGAATTTCAAAGGCATAACAGAGTTTAATATTAGATTTAATAATAATGAGAATATATTATAATGGTGCACTTAATTACATTTCTTGCAGAGAAGGGAGATTAGCAAATTCTTCAGGTAAAACTCCTGTCAAGTTCATTCCTTTTAACTGGCTGCAATTTAATACAAGTATAAAAATATATCAGTAAACATTGATTAGTGACATAATTAATATATGTTATAGAAAGATAGATGCATACATTGTTGTTATGTGGCAAACAGTGTTGCTACAGTTGCAAATTATATTGGTACCAATGTCAACAAACCCGTCAGCTCTCGTGGTAATTGTCCTATTTAGCCCTTGACTTCTGCTGCATGAATCTCTAGAAACATTCCAACCAGTATGTTGTAGCCTTGAGGCTATGGCTTCCAGAGCTTCAACTGTTACAAACAAAAAAGGGAATAACAAACTACCATAATTATTTCTCCTAAAAACCTATCTATATTTATGAGTTTTCACAAGACAACTAGCATCTATTATTTAATCATGCTTATAGTAGTCAAACTTTCACAATAAGTTGAATTGTTCACAAACTACGTAGAAGGTCAATAAATGTTCAAAGGTATATAAGTTAATTGATTTGTAGATCAGTGGAAATGAATAGTCGTCCTTGTTATTTGTAACATATTTAGAGGAATGGATCAAGATCATAAACAACATTGAAATTATATCAAGCAAGTGGAAGTAGGTTATTATAATGTCACTTATAATTATACTCACCAGATGGAAAACAAAGAGATATATAGATAGATATATATATATATATATATATGATATATGATATATATATAATATAGATATATATTATATATATATATATATAGAAGAGGGTTCAATTGAGAAAAAAAAAGGTTGAGAAGGGGGAATCATCCTCAGCTACACATTTATTTGCCGCAAAACACTGAGGCGTACCGTCGGAAATGGATAAGGATAAAGTGGGGTTCCAACCAAACATGTTTCATTAAACTATGCTAATCATTATCTTAATATACACAAAAACATATATATTTTTTTTGTTTTTTTTTAAAAGCTATTTTTATCGAAAATTTATTTTAAATATATCAAAATTCATAATTATTTATTCTCTATAAATAGACATCCATATTGATATGGTTTTAAAATAAAATAAATTTTTTTTTTTTTAGAGTTTCAGCTCTCGTTATTCATAAATGAATAAAAATCTATCAGATTTTCACTTATGAATAAAACGTATGCTTACCTTTTTTTATAATTTAAGTATCGTTCATATATGAATATGACACGTAAAAGTTTCTTACTTAAAATATATTTTTTACATCATCTTTCGTCATATATTATATTTATATATGAATAAAACGTGTATTAGTTGTCGTCATATTTTATATTCATATATGAATAAAACATTTATCAAAATTTTGTTACAGTTAATTTGTTATTCATATATGAATAAATAGTATAAATAATACTTAAACTGACAAAAAAATTAATTATATATTTTTATTCATAAGTGAACAACGAATATACTGTAGCAAAAATCTGATACATTTTTATTCACTTATGAATAACGATAGCTGAAAATATAAAAAAAAAAAATATTTTATCTTAAAAGTATATCAATATGGATGTCTATTCGTAGAGAATAAAAAATCATGATATTTGGTATATTTAAAATCATTTTTCGATAAAAATAGCTTTTTAAAAATTGAAAAAACAAAAAAAACTATGTTTTATATATATTAAGGTAATGATTAGTATAGTTTAAGGAAACATGTTTTGTTGGAAACAAATGTGTATTCCTTATCCATTTCCGTTGGTACAACGGAGGCTTTTGCGGCAAAAATAAATGAGTGGCTGAGAATGATTCCCCCATCGCAACCTTTTTATTTTTCTCAATTGAACTTACCTATGATATATATATATATATATATCTATATATATATATATATATATATTATATATATATATCTATATATATATATCTTTACTATCTTATAAAACAAATTTTATTATTTCTATAAATAAGTTTAATATAATAATAATATTTTTTTAAGACGTTCAAGTCTCTAAGCTTACAGTACAACCAATCATCAATAAAATAATATTATTTTATAACTTAGCCTTTTATCAGCATTTGAACCCTTATAAGTCTCCTAAAATCTGATCTCCTTGACTTCTTCCCAGGTATCCAGGTGCATTCAAAATTTGAATTGTAGATCCAATAGGCTTCTGCAAATATCCTTAAATTTCGTATGTTTGATTCAATTTTCAAAATTTGAAGTCTACGTCCCTTTGTTGCTCTCCCCTACTATAAAGCCCACCGCCAGATCATTCACCATCATGTCGGTGTTCTTCTCCCACCTCTCTTGATCCAGGAAACCTAGATCGACCTTCTGCTACAACTACCAGACCACGACTAATTTATTTTGTTGTTCATCTTTCTTCTGTATGATTTCTAACCATACGCCTCTCTTTCTAAACCTTATCTCTACTAAAAATCCTACCCTAAGCGACCACCGTCCGCCGGAAACAATGATCTGATCTGCTGGAAACGAAGACACCCACCCATCAGGTACTATTATGTTGATTGCACCTCTCTCTCTCTCTCAAGCATATTTGAATTTATGTTTCTCAAGTTCTTAGCCTCAATTGATGTATTCAATTTTTTTCAGGGTTCTGAACGCAAATGTTCTTCTGTCAACCTATTGGATTCCACCGTCGATAAATTTATGTTGCAATTTTGCTGATGATCTTCACTGGAGAAACGAGCAAGACGACGATGTCGATAGGGAGGGAAAACAGAACAAAAATTTATTGGACTTAAGGTTAGTTCGTGCTTTCTCAATTCCTAATTTGATTTCATTTTACATCCATGTTTTATTTTAGTTTCAATCTATCAGGTTTGTTTACCTTCTTTCTATTACGCACGTCAATTCCTGTTTTTGACTGATGGCAATCGTATTTTGTTTTGTTTGATTTTAGGATAAAGATAATTAAAGTGGCCAATAGAGGAAAATTGTAAGTGACAATGATTTGCAAGAACCTATTTGCTACACTAGGCCAGGTGTTTGTGAAAATGCATTCGATTTCTATTTTAATGCCTACATAAACCCATTTTAGGGTATAAGTTTCATGGCTCTCACTCCCAAACCAATTAAAAACCTAATCTTCTTCCATCCGTGCAGATTTTTGTTTCTGGATTTCACTTTGTTGTTTTTTTTCAGCCATATATATATATATATATATATATATATATATATATATATATATATATATATATATATATATATATATATATATATATATACACACCCTAATTATGGTTATCTGAAAACAAGATATTTGGGCAGAGTAAGAAACTTAAAGGTGCATTATTCCTTTCACATTTTAAGATTTTAATATGCTTTCCAAGAATTACTTTTATTTACTTTAATGTTCAAATTTGATTCTTAAACTTGTTTTGTTGCTACTTAAGATGAATGCAGTTCTTGGACAGATTGCTTCTACAACACAAGAGTTGGCTCATTTCATACATTTTGGTCGGTTTCTATTCTAATACACTGTACATTAATTGTGTAATTTTCTGACTATTTAATTATTGTTATAGCCTGTTCAATATGATTAGTCAATGAGAATGAAAAGTTTGATCAACTTATAAGCATCAGGTTGATCGCCTTTTGAATCACTTTTGATTTTAATAGCATTAATTCTTTCTTTTTCTTTTCTAACGCCGTTTTCTTTCGGAATGCATACTCGTTTATTTCTGAAAATTTAGGGGCCTTTTGATTTCAAGAATTAATTTACAGCAATATTGGTTATACAGTTGATTCTTTTCGCATGAGTTCCTCAGTTTATTATGTATTCTTGCAGGAAAATTATTCCATATAGCTCGAAAAAGATCTTGCAAAAGCAGAAACAAAGCATGGGTCTCGACCTGTTGGCAAAATTGACAACCGACATCCAGTAAGTTCTAGTTTTTAAAACATAGACACGATCCTGTTTGACTTTTAAGTTGATTTCCTTTATAATTTTTTAAAGGCACAATCTTATTGTGGATATAAATGAAGGTCTAAATGCAAAGAAATAGAAACTTACTTTAGTTTATTTTTTCATTATAGCATCCTATTTTCATTTCCTCCTATTATAGCATTGTACATAACACAAGGTTTTTTATTCAAAGACTCTACCATGAAAGATCTATCGATTATAGCATTGTATTTTGTAAGATCTACCCAATTTTGACTATTCTATAATTTGGTATACCCTTCAAAGTACAATGCTATAATAAGAAGAATAAACTAAAGTAAGTTGCTACCCAATTTTGGCTATTCTATAATTTGGTATATCCCATCAAATATTATGTTTTGTTCGTTTGTTTAAAAAAGTTTTTGTTATTGATTTTGGGTGTTTTTAGAAATTAAATGAAATAATCAATTATTTTTCATACTTTACTTTTTATTTATTATAGGATATAACATCATACTTTTCTTTCTTTGTATTGTATCATTTAAATTTCATTATTTTTTAGGCATTGTACTTTATAAAATTTACTAGACAGAAATAATGGTTGTGTGTTGCATTGTTGCCTGTGAAAGAAGTTGTGTGTGTGTGTGAGTAAATAGACATATTTGGGTTAGGTTTTAATCCAAGAAATAGCAATCTACTTTCTTGTATTTGTTTGTGATAGCATCCTACTTTCATGGAAATTGCTAAGGTTGATAGTCCCTTTTTTCTATATGATGCTTCATCCTAAATGGATTTCAGGCATATACTGATTTAAGAGTTGTGTTTATGGTTTTCACGTCTAAATGTTATATATTTTTGTTATTTTCTCTTAAAAGAAGTGTTTTTCAGCAGGTTCAAATCCTCGGTCCTAAATCTAGAATGTGAATTTTTGCCATAAGTATGCTTCTTCCTCTTTCTCTTTAATGGTTAAATCTATTTTGGAAATGCTATGTCATTTCCGGGTTGGTTTTTGGCATAATTCCGGGTTTTTGTTTCTTTGTCGGGACTGTACGAATTATTTTTGCTTTTGTTTTAGATTTCTCTGTTTACTTTTGGTATGTATATTCTCTTTCTACAAACTGGTTTTTATTCCTCTATTAGTTCAGTTTTTAAATGTGAAGCTCTACTGATGAATAGTTGTCGGGGTTTGGACGAGAAGGCAAAAAACAACACATGACTTCCATGGTCCATAATCTTATAGTAAGAAAACATATGAATATTGATTACACGGTCATAAACATGGATCGGTAGATGGGCTTCTATAGATTATGCAATGAGGTAAATCAAAATATGACAACAAATTTAAAAATTCATTTTGTTTTACCCTAATGTTTCCCGAATTTTGAAAATTATGATTAGGAACTTGCTTGGCCTTTGATTCTAGACAGAGTGGCCGAGGTTTCATTGCCATGTCTTTTTTTTTTTCTCAGTTCTTTGATGTAACTTAATTAATTTAGGTTCTTATTTCTTCAATGTTAGAAGAATGTAATTGAGACAAAAACATGGACTGGCATTTCTATTTCTTCTGGGAATTGACATGATCACAGATAATGTTTATGACTTTATTTCTATAAATATGTTTTGTAATATGTTTAATCTATACTTGGTTTGCCAGTTCAATCTATAAATATACTTGGTTTGTAAGTTCAATGAACTTTTTATGAAAATATATTAACTTATAAAATAAATCAAACTCGATATCATACTTAAAATTATATATACATTTGACGGCAAGAAGTTCAAATATTCAAATAAGCAATGACGATGATTATGTGTAATACTTGTGCTAAAAGTGCTTATATTTTAAAGTATGACTAAATTGATTAGGTGACTAACAGTTTTAATTTATATTTGTAGTTTTAGTTTATTCTGACTTCCAAAATGAGTCATAATATATGAATCATAAAATGGAGTTTTAATTTTTTTAATTTTTTTTATATTTTGGTTTTTTAAATATTGAACTATAAAATTTTGGGTTAAAAAAAAGATATAGTGTTAATGATGTGTTTTTTAAAGATGCATAAGTTCTCTAACTATCTAAATTAAATGAGTGAAAATAACATTCATTTTATTACTATTTAGACCGTTCAAACTTGATAAAACAATGTTCCTCATTTTTATACAGAGCATTAGACTAACTATCGTTTTATGCATTTTGTGTCCAACAAAGATGGTGTTTGAGGATCAATAAAAACACATCCCTATTCTAATAAATGAATAGGTTTATTCTCATATTGTCAAGTATCATACTATTAGAACTCTTCATTAATATTGTATATTACATATCATGCCACTTGATAACCTATTAATTATCAATTTCAAATTTCAAATTTTAAAATTTTCACTCTAATTACATTAAATTATTAATTGATTCTCTATTTTAAATTTCAAATTTTAAAATTTTTCACTCAAATTATATTAAATTAATAACTAATGATTAAACAATATAATTAAATTAATACAGATTATAAGGTGATATAACTTCACGTATTTATATAAATCAACGATTATAATTTTATATAACTAAAAACATATATCTTAAGTAATAATTTATTTAAAATAATTGATTAATAATTTTGATTTTTTAATATGAAAGTTTAATTAATTTTATAATCGTGGTTCTCACGGGTTATATACTAGTGGTTAGGATAAATTAACTTGGCAAATGACCATACTACCCTCAGGCTCAAAGTTATCAGATATAGATAATGATAAAAATAATAGTTCATTCAGAAAATCCTTTCGCTCATAATACAAAGAATTCACTGTTAGTTACACAGGCTTCTAAATATTTTTGTGCAAATATTATACTTCCATTGCTTTAATTAATTCGATTTTCCAAATCACAGTGTTGTAATAAAAAAAGCATGAAGCTTTGTCACTATCCAAGAAGAGAAACCAAGAAAACAACACATTTTAGCCAATGTCACATAAAAAATATAACGAATGTTACATTTTAACACCAATAGATGTCTTTGAATTAAGATATTAATGTTCAAGTCACTTTTATATGCCATCAACATTACCAATAAAGTATAACGATATAAAATCAGCATACGTGGCAATACAAAAGTGTTAGTGAAGCCTAACAAAAATTTCAAAGGTGATTAAGTCTATACAACCAACATGGTATATAAAGAAGTATTGTGCGATTAATAATGTATAATTAGTTATGTGTTTTTATGCATTTTAATATTTCATTTATTTTTATATAACTCTATTATTATTTTTTGAACGGCTTATATAATTTATATTTTGTGCCGCATGGAACGGTTTACTATTATCGATTATTTGATGTACCATGTCACAAATACGTCAAAGTTGGATTCTATTGTGTTAAACACATACTTTCTTTTGGAACATAACATTTTTGTCAAAGAAACATATCGCCGAAAAAAAACTATTTTCCGCCGTCGCTTTGCGCGGGTATACCACTAGTGTATATATATATATATATATATATATATATATATATATATATATATATATATATATATATATATGCATGGTTGACAAAAATAACACGACATCCATTCAGCCAAGCATCACATCAAGTTTCGCTTGCTAGCTTCTTCCTGGGGGATTCTATATGCACCCGGTTAAAACCATCTTTAAAAGTCAAAATGGTTTTGACTTGTATTAACCCAATTTGATGTGACAAATGTTGATTAATTAATTCATATAATAAAGATATGCAATAGATGTCTCCATCGTTAAGTTACATAATCAATTTTATTTTGTACAATGTCTCAACTTTATTATAGGGATTTTCATATAATATTTCTAACTTTAAAATTTTATTTAAGTTTTAATTTTAGTGATATCAACCGGACAACGTACCTAACGAACATGAGTATAGATTTGTTCATATTAGTTCATTTAACCTTAAACGATAAATAACGATCACGAACAATTAAACGAATAATAAAAAACATAATATGATATTTTTTCACAACTATAATAAATAAAATTATCATTTTCATTTACCACCGTTTTGTCAAACACTGTCATATTTTAATTTTATTAATTATCACGGACATCAACTATATTAATATTACAATTATTATGTGGCGTATTCGGTGGAATATATGCATTAAGTCGAGCATTATACAATATTTCCCATCTAGCAGCACGTTCTGATCTATGGTGACACCAAAGTGACAAAACTATAGGTATTGGATGTGATTCTTGTAAATCAACTTTTACGTAATGACCATTATAAACGAAGACGATAACAATAGATCTATGATGTGAGATGTCTTGCGGGCCATGCCAAAGCGGAAAACAGGTCGACGAACCTTGTTTGTCTAAAAAATAGACGATTACACCATACTTATTATAAATATATATATATATATATATATATATATATATATATATATATATATATATATATATATATATATATTCTACTATTATTCATTTTTATATACATATATGACTTAACGCGACATTTGGTCAAAGCTCGGCGGCAGGTACAAGCCTTGAAGCAATGACGAGTTTTTTTAAACCTTTTATATATATATATATATATATATATATATATATATATATATATAAAAGAAAAAAGTTGAAATATCGATATATATTAAACTAGACTAATAAGGATTGAAAATAAGTTTTCAAAATACAAAAAGATATAAACTGAAAATACGTTTTAAATAGAAGGGGCAAAGTTGTTAAAATTATTTAATGTTTGATTAAGTGATTGTTTGATGGGATTCCGTTATACCGTTCCAATAACAATAATATAAATAATAATACTTGTCATTTCAGTTTGGGTTTTAATGCAAAAGAGTGGTTTTGATTTTTAGAATGGGTGGTTTTGACCCAAATTCTAGGTGCAAATAGCAACACCCCTTCTTCCTACAGGCGCTTTTTAATGATTATTTGCCGTTTCTAAAAAAATCAGCGTTTGGAATCCCATAATAAATTAGCCATAACACTTTTCATCTTAGAAATCCGGGGGAGACCGCACTGCCAAGGTATGTATAGGAATAAGGGAAAGGACTGATTTTAAGAGAGTGAGCTTACTACCAAAAGAGAGAAACCTGGCCTTCCATCCGTCAATCCTTTTTCTGATATTCATTTAAGTCTTCAAATTCAAATGGTGTTTTCAAGTAAGGTTAGCCTTAAATGCTTCTAGATGATAGCAGCCAGCTTGTGCAAAAGCGATATGGTCAAACTATCTGAAAAGGAAAGAGTAAAACACACGCCCTTTAAAGCAACTCATCCAACTATGCTTCACATATAGGAATTAAAAGTCAGGATTTTCTTGTAAGATAGAGATAACCATTTCATAGATGAAAATAAAAATACTAAGGAAAAAAGACGTAATAAAGGAATCACATAATAATATGATAAAAATGTTAGGTCGGGTAATATCTTATTGACTTGTTCTATATTTAAATTAAGAACAAAGAAAACAAAATAAATGGAGCCCATCAAAGCTGACATGGTAATGGAATCTATGCTATTAACTATATCCATAAGACCAAATGATATACATTGCACGAGATAGTCCGTGGTATACGTGGCCACGAACCACGATCGTGCACACCGTCCCGGTGTGTCGTCGTTGTGTCGCCGTGAGTTGTGGTTGTGGCGATTCGTGATGGCTACGGCGATAGTGCACAACCAAATTGGAACGAGGCTGACCAATTTGACCGTTCAACGGTAACAGTTGTTTTTTTTGAAGATTTTAATTTTTTTATTTTTTTAGTATATATATTTTAATTTTTTAACTTTTTAATTATTTTTACAAACTCATTACCTGAACACAATACATATGATCTTTCGTCAAATTTTACACTCTCATTCTCTAAAACAAAATTACATGGATTTCTTTAAGAATTTTGACTCGGATTATGACGGATAATTCATTTCAACCTTCTTTAACGTTGTGCAACACATTCATGATGAAGAAAGTTCGAATGTTGTGCGTTCAAGAGTGGTCGTCAATCGTAATCGCCAAGCCGCACACGACTTATTGGTACGTGATTACTTTGCTGATAATTATCTTTACAATGATGACTCGTTTGAACGTCGTTTCCGTCTAATAAGGCTATATTTTTACGTATTACTAATGCTTTAGAGGTCCGTTATGATTTTTTTAAACAAAAACCCGATGCTAGAGG